ATATATATATATATCAATTTCCTTTAATAGTATGAAACCGACTATACTCTTTTTTGCACTTAATCCTTTAAGTTAAGTGCCCTTCAATCACTTTGAGATGCTTTTTTTTTATCTTTGGATAGGTTCTAATCTGTCTTATCTTACCACAACATTGTTCAAAGAAAAAAAAAAACTATACTTTTCTTTAATTGTTCTGGCATATACGTGTGCAGTAAGTTGAGATGTGGAAGTAGAGCATATTTTATTCTTAGGCTGACTGAGGGATGGGTGGTTGATATGATGCAGGTGATATGAACAGACCATGTTCATGAATCGGATCATATCTTTTGTTGAAATGCCACAAAATGGAACCTAGCTAGCTAACCCTACGATTACAAAGCCTAATTATAAGGGTTTCAATATTTCACTTATCTTGTTGGAAACTTTTTTTTTTTTTTAATGGATGGATTGGGTGTTCTGTTGGAGGTGGACAATTAAAAGCCATTAATTCATACCCATTTCACAATCTTTCATTCCTCACCATCCATGGGAAATGGGGGATCGAAAGCAAAAAGAAAATCACTTTTATTCCCACTTGATGAACATTGAAATGAATTCTAGGGACTGTTCAATGGTTCCCTTACATTGAATTTAAAAACTCATCCATCTTGTCATTATTGATGATCATCATCTTCATCAAATTGCCATGTTTCTAAATAGTTTTAGATCGAAAAAGAAAGCTGGCAAGAAACTGGAAAAAGACAAAATTAATCTCCAAGAAAATATAAAAAGAAGAAAAGATCACGTTTCAGGGTAAAGATGATGTTTATATCATCTTGTAGATAAATTGATACTCGATGGCCGTATTTCAAAAGGAAGAACGTCTGTCGGGGAATCCATGCAGAGAGAGCTCGAAACTAAGGTGCATGAATATGACAACATCATTTAGAATCATCATTTAATTATTTTTGTTAGGCATTGTTCTTTATGGTAGGGTAGCTAGCTAGCGACAATTGACTTGTGTTAGGGTTACCCGAAACAGAGAATACTGAGAAATAATCAATTAATAAGGAAAGTTATTGATATATTTTTTAATTTAATATATTTATTAGCATTTATTAGTTTAATTATTAAATTTTATAAATACTTTTTTTATTTAAAATTAAATTTTAAAAAAAATAATTTTTTAATAAATATATCATAAAACATGTTGAAATAGATTATTTGTCAATAATTGTCTCAATTAATAAACATATAT